CACACACGCACACACCCACGCACACACACACGCACACACACACACACACACACACGCACACGCACACGCACACGCACACGCACACGCACACGCACACACACACACACAGAGACAGACAGACAGAGTGCTGTACAGCACGAATACCTGCACAACCAGCAGAATCTGTACCGTACTGGACCATTCACAGGGGTTCACTTGCGATGTCATGGCGCGGGGATCAGATTAGCATATGCCAGTTTGAGGTTCGACGACTGTTTAAACGGCACGTGCAGCACTCATGCCGCCCGTTTACAGCCCCGTGATGATTGAGATCATGCTTACTGCCCATGGTCCAGTCCAGTTTTCCATGTCCCCGCCAGAATCCAGGTTGAGAGTTACCAACTTGCTGATGTAAGTGTTGCAGCACCCGCAAGTCAGCTAGCTTGTTAACACCGTTTAGCTGTCGAAGTGGATGAATGAAACGCACGGTGCCTCCTGTACTTTACATGCTATTTGCAGCGGCGTGCATATGAACATCTTCTCAACACGCCAGAGTGCCCAGTGAAATTGTATTAAGATGATATGGATTTACACTGTTACATTGGTGGCGCGGATTGCTCGGCTTGTGGCAGCTACTGTGGTGGGCTGTTTGCCTCTTTGGAGCTCTGTTGTCGAAGCAATTCCATAGGCATGGCGAGGCTTCGACTGATAGTGCATGACAAGGGTTTACACAGAAGAAGTGGTCGACAGGAGAAGAGGAGCACACCTGGCTAAACGACCAGTTGGGCACTCGTTTCTTCGTTGCACCCGAATCGCAGCTGCACAGATTCTGGTCATGCCTGAGCCCCAAACTATCTACCCCGGGACTCGGGCTAGGCAGGCCACAGGGACCGTCGCAACATTGACCATACCGGAGATATGGCTTGCCTGAACTGATGCCGATGCCTCAAGACAGAGAATGCCTCTGGGTCATCTAAGGAAGTGATCGACAAAAGTATCCCTTATGGCTGCAAGTGTGACTGCTGGTCCTTGGGTGTGATGTTGCACCTTAGCTCCAGCCTCCGGAACTACTAAGCTGAGCTGCCGTCGACACATGACATGTTGCGACATATGACCAGAGGTATATCATTCTTACGGACGAACACCCATGCTCTCCTGATGCCCACAAGTTGGACACAGCGGGGCTCTTTGGGTTTCTCGGCTTCTGAGATTAGAGCACGACGTGTTCAGGCATTCTATTTCTCTCAAGTTTCGATGTGAGAGCTGTTTATGCAGGAAGATTCTAACCGGAAGAATTCGGTCCAGGCCGCTGCAGGAGATGCCAACTGTAGCTGCAAGAGCTTTGAAGTTTCTTTTGCTGCAAGGCTGCAAGGCTAACTGCGAGTAAATGGCAACTAGTTCGGATCCTGGTCCCCCGGACCCTTCAAGATCGCTTGATCCGCGGGGGCATGTGCATCCGCGGGCATGCTCTGCGATCCGCCACTGAGCCACACTGGACACAGGAGGCGGATGTAGACGATGACGCAGCAGAGCTCCTCTTTGGTCTTCTAGCATCTCGCAGAATACAAAGCCCGATATTTTGAGCAATGAGTTTGCAGTTTCGAGATGGCACCTTGGGCTCGCACCACTCAGGAGAAGAACCCGGATGCTCGACGCTTGACCTGTTCAGAGAGCCCTATCCGGGTGTGCGCAGACACGCCCACACCCTTGAGATCCCTTGAGAGCTGATTTTACTATGGCCATGAGTTGAAGAGTGGGTCAACGCTTAGCAGATGTCGCAATTGTTCGTGTTTGTAAACCCTGAGTCAGGTCTGGATGCGCAAGCTGCCTTGAGAAGTCCGTGGCTGTGCAGGGTGCAGGACCGCGTCTGCTTCAAAGGGTGAGGGTCGTGGCACTGCTGCCACAACGAAATCCTCGCATGTTGCACCTGGGCTTGTTTGTTTGTCGTCTTGTTGATGCAGCTTGAGGACTCGCGACCCAAGCTGCTGCATAGTCCATCGTCATCCGATCCAGACATCAAGAGCTCTCATCATCTCTCTCCCATATCGCAAGGAGCCTTGCTGAGAACATGCATTTGTAGAGAATGGAGAGAATGTAACAAACATGCAGTTTGGGGCTTGCTGCATGATTCTGAATGGTAGAGAAGTGGCTGCTTTTTTGTTTCTGTATAACATGAAAAGGTATAGCTGAAATGCCTGACAACTTGATTTGTTATGCCGTGTTGGCATGCTGTAGTCTAGCCACAGCGCAATTAAGGACTGATTCGCCTCTTGGCAACCTGTTCAAGAGCTTTGAGACTTGAAGTGCTTCTTTAAGCTTTTCCATTATTCTTTCCAGTGCACACACACCGCTGGCCCGCATTTTCTGAGGAAGGTTGGCAACCTTCCGGCACTACTCCAAGTTCGAGCGGGCGGTGCCTTTACGGCAAGCAGGCTATCCAAATGCCCCAACCGTGCTTTGCAAAAAAGCCCTCCGTTCCGTGCTTTGTGCCTGCACGAGCGAGTAAATCGTAGCTTGAGCGAGCAAATCGTAGCTTCTTTGGCGTGTGCTTGGTCGGCTTGGTCGTCATGAAAGGCCGGTCAGCTACTGCATGGCACTCAGCTCTCCGGACCTTGTATCCACGCCGCACAAAAACACGAGATACGACAATCAACTTAGTAGGAGTCGCAGAAAACATCTTCCCGCGCGGCAATTATTGAAAGCCGCCCAAACTCTAACTCCATCCAGTTTCCTCGCAGCTGCGGCAGCTCAGCCCAGAATCCTTCCAAGTTTCGTTGGCGCTTCAAATCGCTTCAACAGAACCCCGCTGGCCTCAGGGACTCAGGGCCTTGACTTCCGAGGCTTCCCGGCCGCTTTGATGCGAAGCCTGTAATTACGGTCCTGGTTCCGTGACATCTCGCGTTTATGCATGTATATGCACTCTTCGTGCAAGAATCGTCTCAGCCAAGCGGCTAATCTAATCCCAGTCCATGTAAGTTCGTGCGTGTCGGCAGGTTTTCTGATCCCTGATGTTCCAATTGAAAATACCGGATGAACCCGAAGCATCGGAAGCAACTTGCATGGACGGAATCGACATCTTTGCCACAGATAGGGCAAGCCTGTGTTGTCTCACATGGTCTACCGGTCTGCCGGAGGCCAACTAAAACAGCAGAACAGCAACGGCAGGAGGGAACGCGAGACCACCGTCAGGCGATGCACCGCGAAGCCGGCCTCTCCCACAACAAGACGCAGCGTTATGTCAGAGCTGTCACACAAAGTGGAAGGAAGATCGACGTCGCGCGCTCACACTGCGTTTTGATTTGGTCCCAGGTGCTGACGCTGGTGGCTCACCGGTCCGAGGACCTCGGCTTGCTGTCTCCACCAGTGACCACTCGAGAACTGAGATGATTCAATTCAGGACACAACTGTAGCCGAGCTTCGGGATGCTTTCCACACGTTGGACGTGTCACAGTCAGGTCAGTGAGCTGTGTGACGCTGTGTGATGCTGTGTGCAAGTTTGGCCAGAGTCGAGTGGGCATCAAAGCGCTTGCCTTTGACAGTTAGGCTCTTTGAGCAAGAGCGAGATCAAGGCACCAGGGCCCACATTTGACAGATTCGAGCACGATGCTGCATCCAGCACCCATCCATGAAACCTGTTCTGTGGAACTGAGGAGGGCATTTTCCGATGTGGTCATGTCGTGGAGGATGCGGAATTGACTGAAATTTTCTCGGCCTTGGATGCCGACGGCACAGGATCCGCCGGAGTAGAGAGCACAGGAAGTAGCCACAGTCCTCGTAACTTTGCGTGCTGCTTGCGGAACGGTTCTTGGCTTAACATAGGGTAGCATCGAACGCACTTCGGATCAGCAGAAAAAGGGAATGGCTTTAGCAAGGCACGGCACAGGTGAGTATGGAGAAGTTGAACATTGATCTGTTGTATGGTGCGAACTGCTCACATGTCGTCCTCGGTTCTAATGGCTTTTGATGCACTGTGCTTTGCTATGGTTTGCGCTTGCGCGATGTGTTGGTAGGGTGGCGCCTTCCATTTGTGCCGAAGGATCCTCACAAAATCAAGATATTTTTGTATACTTGACTTTTCATTTCTCTTCGTAGCAGTTTCTCTGTCGCGCAGTCTTCTGCTCTGCCGGACTGTTTTGCCTACTGCTTAGGCAGTTGCTCTCCTAAGTCCTAGGTGATTCGTTTCCGGTTGCCATGTTGCTAAACTCGAATCTCATCGAACTTTGCCCTCGCGAAAAGGTACCTGTAGAATTCAGATTGCACGCTTCACCGATCTATGACAGCAGGAAAAGTTCACTACACGGAGTGGCTGGCAGCAACAATGCAGCCTTCTGCCTTGGCAACCGACAAGGCCATCAAGCAGGCCCCCACGCATGAATGGTTCGAAACAAGCCATTCTTTGTCATGCAACATGTGACACCTTCAGGTGTACCACTACCTGGACATTGATCAGACTGGTCATATAGCTCCCCATGAGCTTCAGAGGAAGCTACGGCTGCACAGAAGAGAATGCAGGTGTTACCTATGTGGACTTGTTTGTCCCGTGCAGAGTGCCGTGAGACTGCCAAGCCCAGGGTGCTGGGTTGCAGTGACTCGGTGCAAAGTGTTCTGAAGCTTGGTGATACGGATGGTGACAGCCTGATTGATGAATCTGAGTTCCGACTCTTGGCAGCAATCTCTTCGCACAGACTGAAGACAAGCCCACCTTTGATGTCTGATTCATTTTGGTTTGCAAGGTGTTCTCATGCGCAACTTGGCGAAAAGGCTCGACCAAATGGACCTTCATCCCAGGAGGCTTGGTTTTCATTTGCCTGAGGCAAACAGCTTGAATAGCAGCTTGAGTAGCATGCATCAACTTTAACCTTGCAGAAAGCTCTTTGCAGCCTTTACCTGTGGTTGGATTGTACTGACACGGGCCACCGTCCACAGCCTGACCGCCATTGCACTGGGTAAAGGTTGCAAGATCGGTTGCAGTGATATTGTTCGTGACTTCTGCTTGCATCACATGTCCTCGTTTATTGGTGCCAAACAGGTGGAAGTATCTAGTGAACTGTAGTCGCCATGTGATGCAAGCTCGGGCTTGGCACGGTCTTAGTGGCTGCACGCCAAACCACCCCAAAAGGTGTGTGAAGGCTGCGCCATCTCGAATTTGTGGCACAGGAAGCAAAGCAGCCGAAGCTAGTGAGATATACTGTTCAGTGCCCACACACTGCCTTCGTGGACCGCGTCAGTCTCTGTGCAAACGTCGCAGGAGTTTTGCTTTTCCTAGAGGGAAAGTTTTTGAGCCACCTGGCCAAGGCAATTGTCTCCAGGTGCGCTCCAGCATAGAAACCACCAGGGCAGTTTGGCCAGCCAAGTGTGGAGAGACTTTAGTCACCTACATTACAAGATCTACGCCTCGATTGTGCTTCACAGCTTGGCGATGTGCATTACCACCGCAGCCTGTAGATTCTGTATCCTGTAAAGAGACAGCAGTGTCGCTCACGCACTGCATATGGCAGTGTCCACGCGCCCTTTACGAAGGGTTCGCACAGGTGCCCAAGATGGCACACTCCTTGCAGGCACACAGGAAGGCCTTGTCGGTTCGGTAGCTAAGGTGCCGAACCGGCAGGCATGCCTGTGTGACAGATCCAGTCCGCGTGTTCCCCCAAGAAGACATGGGACGCATCCGATCGAGCAAAGAGAGATGTCTGACTGCAAGTCGAAACAGATGCGCAAAAAGCATGGAGGTTTTTGGCTCAGCACAAGCTATTGAAGAAACCGGTCGCTGCTAAGCCTGCTAAGCGTTGTCATTTCATGCCAGACTGCCGTCTAGTGACATGGTAACAGTTCATAACAGTTCGCCGTGGCACTAGAGAAGCTTAAGTCACCGGTGCAAACGCCAACGGCAACCGGGACTAGCCCTGTGTTCACAAGACCTGACATCGACGAGACATAGGCAAAGGCTTGAAATGGCCAACCCACTGCCCTGCCATGGCCAGACGCTGATGTTCTGGCATGATGTGCCTAAAGGGAGATCGGCGGTGACGGTGCTGCTCCTGGCAGCAGCCCAGCTTGATTTCCAAGGGTTGAGACTTGACATGCTCGTGTCGAGCCCCTAGGCCGTCCTGGCTGCTAGCAGCGGAGCTGTTTTGGTTCGCTTGGCCCATGGTCTGCCGCCGCTGACAGCGACTTTGAGGCGAAAGGGGTGTAGCTGGTTGAGGCGCTGAGGCCTTGACAGGGCTGCATCCGATGGACTCTTGAAACGCGCTCAGGTGGCCTTTTGGCGAACGGGTCTCGCAGCTGGCGCTTTGCTGCCTTCCTGGCGGTCTGTGGGCAGGCGCTGGCACTTAGTCATGCTTCTTTGATTTACTAGCTTCTCTTTTCCAGGAAGGACAAAGGCCTGGCAGGGCTGGCAGGCCTTGCCTTGGCCTGTCATTTCTGGACCTGGAAGCTTGTTTGCAAGACGAAGACTTCGCAGGCTTCGTACAGTCGCAACGCAAGCTACGCAATCACACGGCCGTCAGCGTACGGAACGTTCTAGCAGACTAGCAATGCAAAGGGTCCAGGTCGTGGTAGTCGAAATACCTCACGGATGAATTAAAAGGGTCTGCGCATGCTTTGTGATCGTGAACCCTTGGCAGACCGGGTTCACACGGGAGAGAGGCTCAAAAGCAGAACCCAGCAAGAAGACCGCTAGGTTCGCATCACTGCAGCGGACTACGGTCGGTGGCTTAGCATATGACCGAACACAGCGGGTGTTTATGAACCAGGCTGCGGAGAGTCGAACAGTAACTAGTCCTTTCAGACTGCGACTTCCAAGGTGCTTCGCTCCACCTTGCTCGTGTCCTCGACCCCTATTTGGGCTGGACTTATCGGGTGCATCACAGGCCGGGCCCTGCGAGGTGAAACGAGAAGTGCCGAACTGTCATTCCTCCGGAACCAGGCCAGGACGTCCCCGGTCGACGGTTCTGGTTCGGCGTCGGGATCGCAACTGCAGGTCATCCTGGTAGATGCTGCATGACACCACTGCTGTGTCGTTCGGTTCATGTAGGAGTGTGGTGCAGTGCAACCACTGGTTTGACCGGTGGAGATTTCCTTGGCGACCTCCTGGCACTGCACCTTGGTGCGCATGTCATGTAACCATCTTGTCTAGGCGGTCCTTTCGCAGAGAGCAGCAGGGTCCACATGACTTAGATCGCTTCTACACCGTGCCCCTGCTACAATTTGATACTTCCAAGATCTCCGAATTTACTTTTGGACGTTCGTCGGAGATCGCACTGTCTGCTTTTGTGCAACGGGCTACCACCTCGTGCGCAGCAGCGGGCTGCCACCTAGTACGCAGCTTCGCGCAAACTCCAGCACATGTAGTTGGCACAAAGAACCAGAAATACACACCGTCCTGCAAGGCTTGGGGCAATGTTCTGCGCCATATATTTGTCGAGCCATGGCTGAGGCTTATAGCTCTGCGCATAGACAGCTTTGACGCGCATCGCCAGCTTCGGACAAATCCTAGGATCGGGCGAGATGTGAGACAACGCGTCGGTATCGGCTGCTACGGCACTCGCATCTGTGGCAGTTGTGCCACTTGCCTCGCCATCGTCGCGGTGGTCACAGGAGCGTGCCGAAGTTGTCGTTTCAGGCCATGCATGTACTGGACACTACTTACAGGCTGTAATCTCGCATCACCTGTAAAGGAACCCCTTTGTGGCCGACTTGCGCACGCCAATGGCTTGCCGTCTGTGCGCTTGCTGCCGGACCACAACTTACAGGGCACATCGGCTTCAACTTTGCGCTGCATCACTTGCCTGCATCGACGGTGCCCTGGCAAGCACAGCTGCCGAGCAAATCGTAACGATTCTGCACAGACGCATGGAGAGATGGCAGGGGGATCGCATCAAGCGTCGAGGGCATTCTGCGCCATTGACAGAGTCAAGGCTCTCTGTTCGACAGTGATCTGCGCCGAGGTCGCAGCTGCCGGCCTGCTGGAGCCTCTTGGAGCCACGCTGCTTGCTGCATTGCTTCTCGGAGAGGCCTGGGCAGTCCGAAAGAGCGAAAAGCAAAAGTGATAACACTAGGCTGAGAAAGATCGAGACATATAATGATGCAAGAAACATGACTAATTAGTTACAGTAGAAGGATATACAATAAAATACTTTTCCCGTCAGTATGATGTACTCCTTACGCCGTCTTGTTTGTGTATCACTCCTCGCACGGTCACTCTTGAACGGGGGTGCGTTGGAGCCAAGCGGCTAGGGGCACCTCAGGCCCAGGAAGAACGGAAAGGAAAGCCTAAGTAGACACCTTTGCGGGGGGTTAGCCTTTCAGGCCATGCAAAGAGAAGAGAGCGGTCCCGGTGGCAGGGATTCTCGAGGTGGTCGGTGCGTGAACATGATGAAACGGGTCTTGCCCGCTGCTCCCGTGCATGCTTCAAGCAGAAGACAGAGAGTGAAGAGCAAAGAGAGGAGAATGTGTCGAGCATGCACTTTTCAGGCTTTCTCGGTTTGGGGGCTGGGCCTGCGCCCGCGGGTCCGTGAATTGCATGCCGGAAACCACTCGGGGGCATGCTTTTTGACAGAGAGCGATGCCAGAGGGTAGGGCGCACATTGCACATCCGTCGGGAAGGGACAGCTTTCGTCCTCGTGGCAGGAGTACCGGATGTTCCTGCAAAATAAATAATCGGCCATGGTAGTCAACAGAACTCTTTGCCCGCAATACCGATACTTGAGGTGCCCACTTCGAATCAGATCTTTGGTGCCGTCATTGTGGTGGCCGGCCTGGCTGTCATCTGATGCTTCCACGGCTACATCTTCCAACAAGGCACCAGCACTTTGAAGCTAAATCGCAATCCGGGGGACGACGCGGGACAACAAATTATTGAAAATACTGGATATTATCCATTGATACATATACATATGTGTGTATATATACATTTTTTTCATCCATGTATTTACTTGTTCATTTAATACTATTTAAAGAATAGATCTCTTTAAGGAATGATTATTTAAACTCAACTACAAAAATTAAGGGACCGGATAACGCTACATGCATAGTTTAGCGAAAGGGTGGGCAGCAATTCCAGTAACAGAGGGAGTGAGAGCAAGTGAGCCAAAAGTAAGCGAGAAGAGTGACTGGGGCGAGGACGACACGGACGAGACGGCGCGGATATACGGGACGGAGAAACATGAATTATAATAATATTGAGCTTATTTACGTTTGATTCTATTACGAAGATCGAAAATCGCATAGGCCCTTTAATCCTAAGCCGTACTAAATTTTAATCTAATATTTTCTCGATATTTATTCTAAATCCTAGGCTTTATTACACTTCTGTTCATGTAGCCTTAACTCATAAGTCCTAAACTCGTATTAAGCCTTAGAGCCCTTCACAAAGGCCCGAAAGTCTCTTAGACCTTTAAATCCTAAGCCGTGCCAAAGCTTAGAGCCCTAAGTATCTGAACGCTCGAAGTCATCTACCCCGAAGTGGGGGCCTCCAAATGTTGCGCTTGTTAGGAGTCTCTAGACGCGGGGAAGAAGGCTGCGGTCTGGGGGTGGATCGAGGTCAGTAAAGGAAACCTCCAAAAGCTGCGGTCCCAAACATGTAGAGGTGGAATGGGGCCTGCAAATGCGGCGCTTGCTAGGAATCGTAGGTAGTGGGCGACGGCGCGTGAGTGACGAGTGAATGAGTGATGCGAGCGAGCGAGGGACTGATATGAACGAATGTGAGAGCGTGCTTGACGTAAGAAAGAAGAAATAAGAATCGGACGCCCAATTAGAAAAAATAAGAATTTTGCATGAAGTTAAGGAGAATAATACGTATTTTCATTAATTAAAAAAAAGAATTTTCGTTATGGCTGAGCAGATTTTTTATAATTTTTAAAT